GCAGGGAGCCCGATGCGGGACTCGATCCCGGGACTCCAGGATCATGACCTGAGCCCAAGGCAGTCGCTTAACCAACTGAGCCACCCAGGCGCCCCAACAGGATTGTTTTTTACATGTATTCAAACAGTGGTCCATGGGAGAAAAGTAATCCTATCGGGAATTGTTGGTCATGTTGATGTTTACCATTTAGCTACTTCTGTCAGATACTCCTCTAAATTATATACAGACACAGTATCGTTTAATGCTCACAAGCATCTCATGAAGATGGCACTCATACCTCCAATATTACAGAAACCACAACCCAAGTGCCCTCAGCTTCTAAGCTTCAGAGCCAGGACTTCGGCGCAGAGCTAGCTGGATGAAAATGCTCACGTCGTCCCTCCCACCCTGTGGTGCCCAGAGGTTAGGAGCCGTGGCTCCACCTGGGGCCAGGTGCTGGAACCCCTTCAAGGGGCTGTTCTGCCCAGCACCGTGGAATGCAAACTCCCTGGAGCTAGCACTTGTTTGGCATGGTTGCACCAGTGGCCTGTCTGTCTAAGGTAGTCAACGCATATTAAAATAGTCCTCATAATAAAATAGCACGCAGTCAACCGTGTAGCCTCCTTACGGAGCGGGGGAGGAGAATAGCTCACTTTCCCCGGAGGGCCTGAGAAAGATCAGCTTACAGGCGTCAGCATGGGGTGTGACCCTTCTTCTTTCTCTCCGTCTTGGCCCTGGCACGTGCCTCGGGTGACCATCATCTGACATCAGCCCACAGTCTGGGCAGAAAATGTTACCAGGTCTCCTTTTCTCCCCCACCCAAAACACACTCAGCCCTTTCACTGACCTGGCTTCTGATTGGAGGCTGGGTGCTTTGGATAGTGACCTCCAGGACCCCTCTGTGGGTCACAGCCTGTTCACATTACTCTGACCACAACTTAAGACGTCTGCAGTGGGCTGTGAGGAAAAGTAAAAGCCTGGCGTTTTCCCATCCCCAGGTAGCAGAAGCTCGGAAGCCTGACAGCGTTCCAGCCACCTGAGTGGGCCCAGGGCAGGCAGCTGCCCATGTGTCCCTTCCAGACAGGCTCCTCGCTAAAATGAGGGATCTTCTTCAGTACGTCGCCTGCTTCTTTGCCTTTTTCTCTACTGGGTTCTTGGTTGTGGCCACCTGGACAGACTGTTGGATGGTGAATGCTGACGATTCCCTGGAGGTAAGAAGTCAGCACCTTCTTTTTCTGACCCAAGCCTGTCCGAATTTTCTCAGTCCCACTGTCTCAGGACGCTTACCAGGACTAATGAAAGAAATGATAGCCAACATGGACGGACTTACTCCTTATTTACTACTTGCTGAGTCTTACCTTATTAGCTCATTTAATCATCACAGCTAATCTATGAGGTAGGTGGTGTTGTTATCCCATTTTATAGATGAGGTAACTGAATAATCCCTCTTTCTTCAGCAGGATGAATTCACACAAAGGTAATCACATAACCCCGGTCACTGAGTCCTCCTGAAACTCACCTCTTCCCCTGCTGCCGATGCTAAATTGAATAACATTCCAGTGACACCCTTTCTGACAACCAAACACTTTCTAATCTTGATTATGAGTAGCACGAGAGCCTCTCTTAAGAAGTGATAATGTAAGAAATTGAGTAATCAAACTCAAGGTATATCAAACTTACCCAATTACTATGCAAGAGAAAAAAATGTTATTTTAAGGAGTTTCCAAGTAGGAACAAGTACTCTGAGGGAGAGCAAGTCTTTCCAGTGGGCCCTGAAGTACCGGGGACAGATAAGGATTTACAAAACCCTCTCAAAAATAAGCTGCTCTTGGAAGCCAACTGCTATGTAAGAAATAAGTGAGTGGTTCAGATTTGAAGCATCTTATTTTTCTTACTGGAGAAGCTCAGAAAGAAGCAATTTTGAAGTTTATAATAATTTCCTGTGGCTAGAGGAATCTGAGAAAGGTAGAACTGAGTAAAAATCTAATCTTCAAAATCAGATACTATCCATTAGTAAGACTTCAGAAAGTGTGGGTAAGAAAAAGAAACAATATATCAGGAACTCAAAGACTATATAGCAACCCAATCTGCTCTCTTATGTACATCCTGAGGGGAACAATTTATTCTAACAAATGCTGTAATGTCACCTCTGTGAAGTTTAGGAAAGATACCCAAGAGCTACTTCATATATTTTTCCCCCTAATTTTATTTATTAGACTCCCAAGTTGGAGTTAGAAACAGAAAGTAATAATCTTTCTATTTTGATGTGTATTATTTTTGCATTTATTATTTTTATTTTGCTTTTAATTTTCCTCTGGCTTCTACATGGCATTTCAAAACCAACAGAGTTAGTTATAAATGTTTCTTTAGAGCCAGAAATTTATGTTTCTGAAAATTGTGATAGAATTGAATCACTGCAAAGGATGTCTGCTATATACGAGTCCAGTAATGTATTTTATCTGGCTGTGCATATAAGTGGTGAAGGAGACACAGAGCGCCCTTTGAACAGTGCTCAGAGAAAAGCACAGATAAAGAAGTCTTCTGCCATTAGCCCTGCAGCCTGGATTGCCAGGAGCAGGAGATTAATTTAGAAATATATTGAACTAGAGCACACTCAAAAGTCATTTTTTACAAATATGCAAAACCTCATCTAAAAGCACTGTTAAAATATTTTCTAAAACAATTTGAAAATCTTTCTGCTCAAGCTGACAAGCGTTACTAACTTCACTCGATAAGAAATGGAAGTTTAGAAAGGGTCAGACCTTGCTGAGAGATTGAGAGTCCTGGCATTTAAAGGGCCTTCGTGCTTTGATTTCAGTATCCAACCACTTTGCCATCTGCTGTGTGCAAGAACACTGTTAGTTAAAATGAATGGAATGAGCAGCCCAGGTTATTCACCTCGAGTAAATCCTTGCTAACCTTGGACAAGAGTTAGTATCTCTTAGCTTCTTTCCTATTTCTCATACCTAAAATGTATTCCACAAACATATCCCAAGAAGCCTCCACCTTAGAACAAAAACCCTGAAACAAATTAGGCCTCTTCTCTCCTACCATCTCTTTATTTATCAATATTTTTAAAGGGACATGGTTCTCTTGTAATAATTGCTCCCCCAGTTGGCCAGTATATAAAGGCATACAATTATCCACAGATTTGGGGGTTTTGATAATCACTGTCTCAACTCTACTATTCTCTCTCCTTGCTTCCTTCCTTATGGATGTATCACCTTTGGTTCCTATTAACAGCTCACTTTAAACAACTGTTGGACAAAAGTTGACACAACAAAAGTGCTTTAAAAAAAAAAAACCTACCTGTGGAGTATTTAAACACAAAGGAGTATTATGAATTTTTAGCCTCGTTAGCTTTGTTAACCTTCTAGGGTGATGCAGGCATCAGAGTTGGAAAATAGATTCTACAGTTCAATTCAACATAACGAATACGAAATGTATGGCGTATTAAAAAGTACTACACTAGTCCTACTAGGGGAGGCAGAGATAAAGCGAGAGTGGGTCCTGCCTTCCAGGAGCGGACATTTAGTGAGGAAAAAAGATATACACGACACTATAATGAAAGGCATAGGCCAGTTCATATTTGAGAAAGAAATGAACAATATATCATTGGAGCAAAGAAGATAGAATTACTATGAACTGTTGGGGACGTTGAAGCAGGCCTCAGGGAGGAAAAGGCATTTGAGCAAAGCCTCCAAAAGATGCAAAGGATTTCAAAAGGTAGAAATGGCAGCAGGGGACTTGCAGACCAGAGGACACATGGCAAAAGTAAAGAATGAGCAAAAGCTCAGGGCTTGTTAGAGGATTAAGGTGAATAACCAGGGCCACGAGGCAGAAAGAGCTCAAATATTCTTTTGTCTTACTATAGAACACTCAAAATAGTATAAAATATTATTTTGCCTTACTCAGGCCTCCCTTGAAGAGGGAAGTTCTTTGCATGAAGTAAAAATGTTAGGAAAAAAAGAAATGGCCCAGGAATGGCACTGTGTGCAGCCCCGACCTGGGGATAGCGGCCCTGAGGCCCCAGCCTGCTCCTTCACTACTGATTTTCCTGTATGTCTGGGAAGACGACATGGTGGACAGAACTTGGGCTTTAAGATTATTCCAGGCTGTGTTTGCATTTTAACTGTCTTGCATTGAACAAGACCCGGCTCAGTCTTCAGCTCAGTTTCTTCAATTATAAGAGGAAGTAAACTGCGTTGTTTCAAAGTCCTTCCTCAGTCTTCACATTCTTTAATAACACCAGGACTCCTTGACTATGACTGGTCTGCAATCCCAGAGATGTGGCCCATCACTAAAGGACCGATGGTGTCTACAGCCTCCCCCTGAAACTTCCACTAGGAATCCAGGGCGAACATTCTCAATTTCCCTGTAACTTCATACTCCCGTCCTTCCTGTTTCCCATCCTCCTTGTCTCCTTATTTATTTCTTCTTCCTGTCCTTCCCTTTATCCCCTTTTTTCCCTTCTTCCTCCCTCCTTTTTTCCTGTTTCCTTCCCTCTCTCCTCTATCCCTTATGCTCTTCCTCTCCTTACTTATTCTTTTTCTTTCCACTCATTTTTCCTTAATCTCTGTTTCTTTCCCCTTCTCTCTCCTTTTTTTCTTTTCTTTTCTTTCTATCTCCCTTCATTCCACAAATACTGACTGATACCTCTGTGCACCCGGTGCTGTGGTGGGTACAGGTTAGGAAGGAAGATGCAACCTGGATCTACTTTAGGTTACTCCTAGCGTGCTGGCAGAGACAGACAAGTGAACAGAGCATAACAGTATGTTGTCACAAGTGCCATCATAACAAACAACTCCCAGTGGCCAGCTCTCCCAATCCCAGATAATGAGTAAAGGCAATCCAGAAGAAGAAATACCTAAACTAGGACTTGAAGAATAGGTGGGTGAGGGAGAAATGGAGAGTATCCCAAGCACAGGAAAGAGTATGGGCAGAGATCCAGGTAAGAGCAGTATTTGTGGCTTTAGACTGTCTCAGCATGGTAAGAATTTCCAGTATAGGGAGGAGTATATAGGAGCTTGGTCATCAAAGGCTTTGGTTCACCTAAAATCTTAGATCTTACTCAGTAGAGAAAGGTGCTTCACTGAAAACAAACAAATGCATGTGTTTCACAAAGATCGATTATTGTAGCTACTTGTGGGGAATGGTGAGAATGGGTAAATGAAGTGTAGGGAGACTAACTGGGAGGTCTTTGCCATAGAACAGAAGGGAAGCGATGGTGGTCTGGACTATTGAGGCAGCAAGCATAGCGAGATGTGTGAAGATATGGGAAGCTCTAAAGAACTATAATCAATAGGACTGATGGTTGCATGTGGGGCAAGAAGCTGATTTGGGGGAGAAGTCAAGGCTGAAATCCACTTTACTGCTTTTAGGCAATTGGAAGAATGGTAGAGTTACTCACCAAGAAATTAAATGGAGGAAAACTAATCTCTATACAGAAGTCATCAAGCAGCAATGTCCCTGGACCATCCCACTATTTTTTCCTTGTTTAGATTATGATACAGCACCTCAAGAGGGTCAGGAAAGAATGCTTTACAGTGAGGAAGTTCACAGGTTGGACTTGATGTTCGAGGACCTGAGATTAAATCCCACACTGCCAGGCAATACCTGTATGCATTTAAATTGCAGACATTTAAATTGCTATAAAGTATATTTCCTCTTCTGTAAAAGAATAATAATATGCACATCATAAGTCTCCTGTGAGGATTAAATGAGCTTGTGTATCTAAAGCATTTACCACAATACCGCGCAAATACAAATCAGTCAATAAGCAAGAGATATATTATTGTCTATTTGCGGTTTATTGTTTTGTTTTTGTTCTGGAGGAGGAGATGACATTTTGTATAATGTTCACTGAAGGGAGAGATATGAGATTTAAGTTCTATTCCTGTTTTCATTATTGATTCTCTTGGAGAAATTTTGTTTACTTCTCTGAGCTGTGGGTTGCCCATTTTTATACTTAATGACTGTTCCCTTTTTGTCTCACCAGGGAAGAAGGCAGACAATAGAGACAAAATAGCATAAGTTACCCATTGTATACATTTTAAAAAGAAAAATAAATTGTGAATTAATAATATTGTTAATATGTTGACTAATTTAGAAGATATGTAATTCTTCATTATCCACACTGAAATAAAAAAATAGTTTCTTCGTAAAGTTACTGGTCTTTCAATTATCAGGAGGAAAGAATGTTTTCACAAGA